CTAACCCTAACCCTAACCCTAACCCTAACCCTAACCCTAACCCTAACCCTAACCCTAACCCTAACCCTAACCCTAACCCTAACCCTAACCCTAACCCTAACCCTAACCCTAACCCTAACCCTAACCCTAACCCTAACCCTAACCCTAACCCTAACCCTAACCCTAACCCTAACCCTAACCCTAACCCTAACCCTAACCCTAACCCTAACTCTAGCTGATGCCTCGTCAACCCTAGCTGATGCCTCATCAACCCTAGCCCCACTTCATGACACCTCACTCACCACCACTGCCTTCATTTGCCACTCATTGCCCCCTTGTCACCCCTACCCATCCCATGCATGACCTATATCCACATTCCCAGCCACCCCACCATACTCATTCTCCACCGCACCATGCGAATGGCTGGGCATGGGCCTGGATTGAGTCTTTGATGCTGATTCACAATCCCCGTCCCCTCATTGACACTTGCCCGTGTCACTCGTTCGTCCGAGTGGTATGTGCGGGTTGGTGGGTGACATGAATGTCATTCAACATTTTCATGATTCGCCACTCGTCACTTGTTTGATTGTTTGACATTTTATTGATTGTCTTTGATTATTGTTAATTGATCATTCGATTCTTTCTGCTCTCTTGTTGGTGGCTTACCTTGTTCTTTGTTTGTTGCCGTTCATGTTTCCTCATGCTTTGTTGTTGCTATTGTCTGCCTTCATGTTCTGCTTTGGTTGCTTTTGCCTGTGATGGTTGACTACAATCGGCATGCATTCCCATTCATCATTCCTTTCGCTCTTGTTGTTGCTTTGTATCATTATTCGTCATGCTTCATTTGTTCTTGACTTGCCTGTTCTCATCGACTTTGACTTCCACGTCCATCTTCGGCCCTTGCTCACCTGACTATCGATTCTCAACTTTGTTGTCGTTTGTCGTGGTCAGTAGTTTTGCATGCAATGTATTTTGTGTTGACCCTGATGTGACGTGGTCATGGTTGATCTGCAGATCTGATCGATCAACCGCGGTTAGCCTCATCGACCTGAACGTCACCCGAGTTCATCCCATTGCCTGCTAGCTTTGTCCAGTCCCTGTTGGCTTACTCATACATGTCCTTTGCAAGCCATGTATGATCTTTGGTTGTTGTTGTGGACGTCATTGCCTCGTTTGATGCTGGTTCCGGCTTTTCTTCAATTAATTCAACGTTCAACTCAATTAACGTCCGCCGCCTTCTCTCTGCCGCCCAAGCCCCTCCACTCTCATCAACCACACCCCCACACACCCATCAGCCTGATTACACCTATCAACATCAATTGTCAAGCCCAATCGCCATACCCACCACCTCTTCGCCAGTCCCGCCATCCACGTCACGACCCCCCTCATCCCCCCTACCATACTCATTACGCCCCATCACCACCAACCACCACCCTCATCCTCTACTCCACCACCACCACTCCCATTCCAGCTACAACTACCACCCACATACCATGGCCATGTCCACCACCATCCCATCGTGCACTCCGCTTCCTCTTCCTCCTCCTCCTCCTCCTCTCCCCGCTCCGTCTCACCCCCATCCTCATCTCCGACCCCGACACCCACATCCCTCAACCATCACAATTCATACTGCCCAATCTCCAACCAACAGCAATGTCAAGCCACCCAGCCCCGACCCAGCCCCCTCAGCTGCCCCCGCCTCGCCGACCACCAGCCGCCAGCCGCCGCCCGCTCGCCCGATCAGCCCACCTTCATCACCACCTAGCTCCTTCCCACCAGCAGCTACGCAACCCGCGACCACACCCAAGGTCATCACTCATCCCTCACTAGCATCAGTACTAATAACGCCGTCATCGATACCCATTTCCTCGGCTCATTTCCGCGTCGACTTGTTTGCCCTAGGTGGTTGAGCACGCCCTCGACCGCCCGACCCCGCACATGCCCCCACCACACACATTGCAAGCTAAGCTCAATCTGATCTCACTACTACCCTACTACATGCCCACACTATACCCTTGCACAGTCTTCAATCCACAGCTGCAGTATTCCGGAATCCGAGTTCTGCCACCTGAGGCCCAAGCTGTTGGCCCTGTGTCCCTTCGATGCTGCTCACCCCCAGCCCCGGGCCCATCTCCAACCCCCACTCCCCACCATCTCCACGCCGACCGGCAGCGCACGTCGTCGCTCGCGTGGAGCGCCGCTTGCATCTTTGCCAATGCGGCCTTGATCGTCGCTTGCGGATGGGCGCCCACGTCGACGACGCGGGCCACTGACGCCACCCGCCGAACAAGCAAGCGCCACAAGTGGT